GATATAAGGGTATGTAGAGTGTGATATATGGGTAAGTAGAGTGTGATATAAGGGTATGTAGAGTGTGATATAAGTGTATGTAGAGTGTGATATATGGGTATGTAGTGTGTGATATAAGGGTATGTAGTGTGTGATATAAGGGTAAGTAGAGTGTGATATAAGGGTAAGTAGAGTATGATATAAGAGTATGTCGAGTGTGATATATGGGTAAGTAGAGTGTGATATAAGGGTGTGTAGAGTGTGATATAAGGGTATGTAGAGTGTGATATAAGGGTATGTAGAGTATGATATAAGGGTATGTAGAGTATGATATAAGGGTATGTAGAGTATCATATTCTTCATCATTGTATCCATTATTATACCTTCCATCCTTACTACCATTACCATACCCTTTATCCTTATTATCATATCCCTCATCTTCATGTCAACTATGATATCTTTCATTCTGAGTCCATTATTATACATTTTATCTTCATTGCCATCATCATACCCTTCAAATTCATTTCCATTTCCAATGTAACATGTTTAAAAAACTTGAGCCAAGAACTGTAACAGCGAAATTAAACAGAGGATGTATAACCCCTGATTAACGCAGATCTTAAATATCCCATCTTCGGGTAAGGTTACTGAAGTAGCATAAGGATAAGTTCCATGAAGTTTGTTGAAACTCCCAACATAAAAACTGTAAAAAGGATGGCTAAAATATAGAGAAAACAAAATAACAAGAGAATACTGAAAAGTACTTAAAACAAAGATAAACTTTCCAAACAGATATTACACAGGAAAGGTTGAAGGTCTGATAAAAAAAGAAAACATACCTCCAAGTTTTGGATAAATCCCCCTGTACTTTCATTGACATCTTCATCTACAGTTGGAGAAATCCAAATGTATCCATTGTTGCCAAGGATAATACGAGCTCCACAGGGTAAGTTATGGAAGTGTGTCTTTCGACGCTTAATCAGTGATGGTGAAACCAGAACTAAAGTACCCTGGGACAACTAAAGAAACACAAAAAATAACATGAGATTTTCAATTCATACCAACAAAATACAGTCTACACTAATCTTACAATAAATGCTAATAAATTAACAGCTGTTCTATAGCTATAGCTTATTGTTATTAGCAATGAAATGTATATGTGCAAAGCATGTCATTATTAGCATACTTAATATTGTATTTGTTGGATCAGCAGCATGTTTTATTTTCAAAAAATATTACAAAAGTATTCTAAGATACGTTACGATATCTTCTTAATGCCATCTAGACACTATACCATACTTTCAAGACAAAAAACAATAATGTTCTACATATACACGTATCTACTATATTCACATCACGACAACAATACCCGATTATAAAATATTTTAGTTTTACACTTAATACAACATATAAGAAAAATATTTCAAACACATTTCAGCAGAAATACTGGAGTACATTTAACAGCTACAACACGGAATTATCTATACCAGCTGCAAAGTAGTTACATGCACACAAACTAATTTATTTTTCCTCCACAAATTTAGATAGACTGCACCTTTATTAATGCTTTCGGTTAAAACATAAATAACAACCAGTCAGTCCTTTCTAACTTGTGGCTTCACCAATGGCTTAACAGAGCCAGAGTGGACCAGAACTCCACTCCTGTACTTTTTTCTTTTGGTGTGACTAAAGTACATATAATTGTAAAATAAATTTAAACTGTAGATATTTGTGGTATTAACTTGCATGTTTCCAATGCTATATTTAAAAAGAATAAATCTATGTTTAAAACGATGACATAAAAAAAAAAATATACACAAATAATATATATATTTCATGATGTGGAGATGCTTATATAAGCTTCAGACAATTTATCAATTGTATTTCTTTGTAATTAAGCACAAAGCTACACAATGGGCTATCTGTGCTCTACCCACCACGGGTATCGAAACCCGGATTCTAGCGTTGTATATTCCGCAGACATACCGCTGTGCCACTGGGGGGCTTATTTATCAATTGTATCTTTTGAAATACATTTATGTGTGTGTTTATAATTCAAAGAGTGGATAAAAGTTAGGATTTAATTGGCACTACAGCACAAATAATTTTACCACTACACCAATGAACATCACCCTGTTGATGTTTCATCAGTCTCAGTTATCGTCATTAGATGATAGATTACACTTATCATCTTAGAATTAATTTTCTCTTTCTTTTCTACTATTGTTAAAATCTTTTGCCAGCAACAAAATATAAAAACTCGTACATTTCTTACCTTACCATACTTTAAACTCCTTGTATGCAAAGAGAGCGAGCCATCTGAGAAAACAGACTGCACTTCAGCCTGTACCAGTTTTAAGGAACTAATATTAGATACATTGATATAATTCAGAAACAATATAGTACATAATTTAATAATATCTTGTCTCATTCTAATCTAATGTAGTTTACACAATAATGAAAAACAAATTTTCCTGCTATGCTTATAGAGAGGTTGAATATGTTATAATAAAATGATTTTGAAATCTCGCCAAATCATTATAGTCCATGTTGCCAAATGCTATCTGACAACAGTTTCCTTGCAAAAGGCTCTGTCATAAGACTGTCATGTCCAAAGCACACCAATCCTCCCTGTATTGTTTCATAATTTATCTATTGTACAAAAATGATGTTTCTCAGTGGCTGTTTGAACAGTCTGATCATGCAGAAATATAAAGGTACTGCATCCCACAACTTGAGCAGTCTTCTTGTGAAATAGCATGAATACTCATTTCATTCTCCAGCTCCTTGAAGTATGTGACAGCTGAACAGCAAGTATGATTGGAAGCCTCAGGATGGTAAACCCATACCTTGCTGGCCTCATTTCCAGATGAAAATCCTTTTTGATTATGTTGCATACTGTTACTTCTGACCTTGTGTTCACTGGTTCTTACCTATTACAAGGCATCGAATTTTGCTTACTACAACTAAATAAACTTGCTAAATGTCTCTTTTCTGGATGGTCCTGGCACCTCAAGTTGATTCACATTCTTTTCTTTTCCAATGTCATTAAGTAAAAGGAATATCCCAACCTTGAAAATTCTCAATCAACAATCTAAACACATCTTTATGATTTCAGTGTATGAATAACTTGCATCATAAAGGACTGTTAAATACTCTTTCCAAAAGTGGCATTACACTACCTAATAAAATACCAAACAATGTCAAAATGTAGTTCTAATACAAGCCATCTCTCTTCAACTTTCTATTGGTTACAGTTATCACATGGCTTGATGATATTTAAATATTCAAAATTGTTTTAATATAACATACTCAACCTTCTATGTCGGCAGCTAACTACTCACAACTTATAAATTTTTCTTGCTATCCAAACAAAGTACAATAAATGCTCTTTCCAATCATAAAAATATGTCTTTAATTCATAAATTTTGGAATGAATATAAAAAAAACTTTACACCAGGATCTAGCATTGACTAGTATTTACACACTGATTGGATATATTTATGTATAGGTTCTAAAACACTCAAATGTATTTATATTCGTTGACTGGATTTAAAGGCCCTTTCTACAGAAGAAAAATAAACAAGCATTTATTTTGAAGCAAGCAAGCATGGTGAAATATACATTTCATTCTTAAACCCCCAAAAAATGTACATATAATACATGTAGTTTAGCCTACATCAGGTAGACAAAGTCTAATTTAACTTTGTGAATCCATATTAAACAATGCAGGAGACACAACATCGAGAAATGCGAACCACCATAATATTTTCTCAGTGATCACTGAAAGCACAGAATATGGAACTAAGAGGACTTAAGGGCAGTAAAATAATACTTTATTGAGTTTGCACAATGTCACCAATAAAAAAATATTTTAAATATTACAACTAAGTTAAATAACATGGTTCTTACTGAAATTCTAAAGTTATATTTATTCTTGTCAATTCTTACTTTTAATTTTTTTTCTTAATTTCTATTTTATAAACTACAATGTGTATGACGTTTTTTCTTTTGGTGTTCATTTCCTGTTTAAATAAACTATAAAACAGTACTAGGAGAATAATATAAAAAAAAAATCTTCTCTATAGGACTGCTGCCGACTAAAAAAACAATTGTTTTCACAGATAATTTGAAAACTGGAGCTCCCTCTAATTTTTCAAGGTTAGTTTAAGCAGTACAGTCAATACACACTTTATGTGTAAATTATCTTGAACATAACAAAACTTTTGTCCACATTTTTGCAACAGAAACAAGTCATTTTGGTCCCCTTAAGAATGACATATAATCACTGAAGAGAAAAGATACACTTATAGGATCCCCTTCTGCTAAATACTTCCTCATTGCAAGTTCATCTTCTGCTGTTTTTCTTCTCTAAAGTAAACATAATTAAAATATAGAATTACATTTTTGTGATATATTTTACTTCAAATCTCACATAACATACTAACTGATAATAAAAGATTTATATAAATGCATTTATACCAATCATAAATTTTAATGTAAGTAAGAACATGAATATAAAAAATTATATAGATGCAAGTCAAGTAACTGGTATTAAGGAAAAATAAGACAAGAAAAAAGAGAAATGGCTATGAATATTGGAACTAAAAGGAATTGCTAAGGGCTGATGCTCATCTGAAAGTAAAAATATTCATTTGTACGTTAACAAGTTTTCATTACTTTTTATGTAACAGACTATGAACAACTGGCACTGTAACAACAGGAAATTGTATTTGTTAATAGTACCCTTAGGTACTCACTTTATTTGAGTCAAGTTTAGTGTACGGGGTATCTATCTACAATACAAATTCTCTAGATATTACAGTACTTTTGTCCTAAAATCCTCATACGTCAGCTTATTTGCTTTTTTTATTTACACAATGCAGTAAATTGTGCAAAAATTTATTTTGTGTGGGTGTTGTTTCCCATACATTTTAATGGGTAACTTGCAAATAAATAGATTTATCTCCCCAACTAGATGCCTCGAATGCCACAAAAATCACTTTCACTAATTCTAAATAGCTCAAATCTTACTTTTAACCCTTTATCATCTCCACCCGTATATTGAAGTACGCTAGACATCGTCTCCACCCATATTTACATCAATTATAGCAATGGATAAAACCTTTCCAAGGATGATAAAGGGTTAAAACTTCATAATGAATAGAATACAATTAAGGATTAAATAATAGAAATATTTAACAAATATATATTTGTACCAAGCTCTTCCATGTTTTAGTCTTTGTACATTCCAAAGCCTTTCTTCTGATTCTGATAAATGTACAACATATTCAGAATAGCCTCTGTGAGAGTTTGTAGATTTTCATAATGTGTTCAAGTTTTGTTGTTTTTTATCTTCATACTATGCAATTACAAATCTTTCATTCACAGCTAGAATAAGGACACTGATATGTTTTTAAAGATCATACTTACTAACTCCCCACCAGGCAAGTTTACAGAAGAAAGAAGAAGCACAGAATCTAGGCGGGAATTTGTTTCAACTTTCCATCTTCTTTGCTGCACCTCGGTAATACGACCAACAACAACATCTCCAATTTCCCCATTGTACCTATACAAGTTTTCAAAAATTACCTTCGGCAAACTTTGACCATTCACAGAAAGACCACTGTAATTTTAGTGCCTCGGCAGTTTCAGAAATAACAATATTATACAACAAGCCAACTTTAAACTTGGACCTGTCTATATACTGTTACTTTCTTAAACAACAAAGTTCATATTTTTCATGCATATAATTACCATTTATGTATAGATTTTATATAGATACATTTTATCAATCAATCCTCAGAACAATTATATAAAAATCCAAATACAATTTTGTCTCCAGTATTATTTCAAAATTTGGATTTTTATTAGCATGTAAACAATTATTAATTTATAGACTCCCTTCCAGAGTTTAGCAGCATATTGTACATGATTATTCTCCTTTTTGCATTATTATTATTACTTATTTTATTTAACAATAAAAATTGATGTTTCAAAAAATTATTAATTTTTTTTGTTACAAACTTTATATTTCCAGCTCAGATGAGTTAATATTCCATTGGTACTTTTAAGTTAAAACATATTTTTAAAAAAATTTGTTCTCGAGAAAACTAAATAAACAAAACAAAAATAAAAATGGTTCATATAAGTTGTCGGTTTTCAGAAAGATAAGCTCACATTTGATCATGAAGTCGCAGATAATGTAGAACACAGATCTTGTTGTTCCCTAAGACACCCCTTTATTTCCTGACACTTTCAGAATACCTCCATAGCAAGACATTCTTTCTCTTAAAGACATATGCAGTGGGTTAAAAAAATGAGTTTTGAGAGACCTATCAAACGTTGTGTTGTTTACCCCTTTCAGACACATTACAACATTCAGCATTTCAGAACACAAGTTATGAGAAAACCAATTACACAATTTATCTACATGTACCTGGTTTTGAGAGGCCTAACAGACACTAATTTGTTTACTCTTTCCACAATTCCTGCTACTGATGCCACTAGATTCTCTTCCTCAACATATGTCCCATGTCCTCTGTGGATGTGAAAAAACAAAATAAAATCAAAGTTACGGAATATGTCATACAAAATGAACAGCAAGCTGTATAATTATTATTGAATATGAAAACATTATACTTTAACCAGTTACTGATTTTTACGAAATATATCTATATTTCTTAGCTTATACAATGTTGTTCATAAAATCTATTCATTATATGAATTGTTTTAAAAACAATAATACACTACTGAAGTCAGTTGAAGATCTTTCTCTTTGGTTCCATGATTGTCATAATACTTCAATATAGCAACCAATTTTCAAAGCATGTGCAGAAACTATGATGTATAGCACTTGAGTCACTATTTCCAATCTTATTTTTTTCATATATCAACATGAAAAAGATACGGTTGGAAATAGCGACTCAAATGCTATACAAATAGATACATGTTTATCCAATGCTCTCACCATTTGTACACATAAAAGCTAAATCAAATCTTTCAATTCCTTTCCAAAGGTAATCATCAAATTATTAGGTCTAGCATCACAACTCATCCTTAAAACCAGGAGTCATTGTACTTCTACACAACTTTCTTTTGTCATTTATCAAAAAATCCTCTAAAGAAATTAAAAGTGTACAAAATTATCTAAGACTAAGAGGCTAAAGCAAGAAGTTGAAAAATGTTGAGAACCATAGAAACATATTTAATGAAAATCTGACCCTGCTTAACTATAAATCAGCTTAATTCTATAACCTACTACCATGACTTTATAGTTGTAAAACTTATGTTTTATCTTCTTTTTTTTTCACACAAATCAGTTTCTTTTATAAAAGGTTTTCAGCAGACAACTTGTCTTACACCAATATTAACATGGCATTTTAATAACAGGAGTACCATTCTGTTACAATTAAAAATTCTTAGGCATATTCATAATATCCTGTACTAAATGCTTTATTCGATGCACTGTCTTTACCAATTCAATTCTAAATGCTAAGACTTTTTCTCTCATAAATGATTAATATAAATAGCATTTCAACCATGCCTTTATAATATTGTAATCAAGTTGATCAAATCAGTACTGAAGTTAAGAAATTTGAGGCTCTGCACAATTTAAAACACATTACTACTCATCCTCCAAAGCAATATTATGCCCCCCCCCCAAAAAAAAAAGATTATTCAGACTTAATAAGTTATTACTACTGTAGCATAGGAGCAATGGTTATCATTTACACATTGTTAAATTAAGTTTTTATTATTTTGTAATGAACTTTTATCTGAATATGCTGGTAATACTAATACTATAATGGTATACAGAATCAAGAAGAGAATTGAACATCAAGCTAGTCGTTTTATTTTGGTAGACAAGTTAATAACTGAATGTTAAGTGACATTGACAACGCTACTCGAAGTTTAAAACTTTACGTGTTTTGTTGAAGTTAGCAATAATAAACTTAGTAAATAAACTAAATTATTTAGAGAATTATGCTATTAAATTATGACACGTCCCGTACGTTGAAAACAAAAATGGTTAAAAGAATAAGTTAGCAAAAGAAAAAAAAAGATACTAAAAATTAGGAAGAAAAAGGATACCCGGATAAAAATTTGAACAGAGCTTATTTGACGACACAACCAAACGAGTCACATATCTTCAAAAAATAAATTTTAATCACTAATAAACGCAACCCATGCGAAACTTTCCTAAACAGTTAAAACAAAGATATCAAAAATCTAATGCCGAGCTCTTACAGTTACAGCTTAATAATAACATGACTTCACTTTGTATTTGCATTTTCAATATAACATGAGTAATTAAGAAAATATGACCTACCGCATAAAACCAGTATCACTAGTAATTATATCTCCTGGTGTAACAAGATGTTTTGGTCTTTCAAACTGAAATTCTTCACGTGGCTTTTCACATGTCAATCGAATTTCCACCGCCATGATAAAGCAAAACTTTAATATCTGAAGAGGTGAAACAAGTTGTTTGAAAAATAAACACTAGTTATTTTCAGTCGTTTCAAAAAATTAGTTTAGTTTAATTGCATTATTTTATAAAATAATTATAACCATCTACAACTGTAAATTGAAGAAATATTCAATAATTTTGTTCCGATTAGTACAAATTAATTGAAAAATACTAGTTTGTAAATCGAGTTTTATTCTTGTTTAACTATTATTTATGTGCTATAGATGGCGTCTTAGTTCAAGTAAAAGTTCTAGAAATGATTAAAAATTTTACCAAATAAACAAAAAGTAAAAAAATAAGACATCCAACGGGCGCCGTGACTGATGAAACTGGGTGAACTGACATAAAATGAACAACTTAAACCAATTGAAGCGACAGTACGGAGAAAAGCATGTGGTGAGCCAGTTATGATTGTATACTCCTCAAATCAATGTATGATGTTACCTTATTCCACAACTTTTAAGTACGATGTTTTTAAATGCCGTTTACTCGCACAGTGATCCCATATCTATAATATAAATTTTAAGAATAACGTAGTACTGATGCTACTGATTTATTATGAGTAATACAGCCGAGAAGCTGTTTAGAATGCTAAAAAAATAAATGTGAAGCCTAGTCTAACATTTGGTTTACCATCTGTCACTGAGCTATATTACATTCACTGATGATTCAGGGAATTCCACGCCTCATCAGTAACCCTGGACAAGGGCAAACTGAAGGAACAAGACTAAGCTTTATACAGTGATGAATTATATATGTATGTGGTGTTTTGAGCTTTCTTTTTTTTTCACTTTCACAATGATCGTTATCTTATTTTTTCGATTTGCATGCTTGTTCATGGTTACTGCTGAGAGGTGAAGTTCCCAGTGACTGTGAGTGAAACCAGTATAACTGTAACAGGTGGAAATCAAACGATAGTTTGAGCTCCATATTAATAATTTAGTTTTGGCTTGTTTTATTGCAAGTTAAATAATGCCATTTACGTCCTTAATCTTATCCAATATGATTTTAAAATAACTAATGTTGCATTTTACATCTTCAG